AAGGAAGGGGTGCCTAGGTGACTCAGTCAGTTAAATGCTCTATCTCATTCTCTCAAATAAATAAATAAAATCTTTAAAAAAAAAAAAAAAAAAAGAATATGAATAGGCCAAAATAGCTTTGTTTCTAAATTATTTTATAACACTACTTCTTGTACAGTTTACAACATTTAGGACTCTATCTTGAATCACAAATGGTAGATCTTTTTTTAATGTTTATTTATGTAAGTAATCTCTAAACCCTAAGTGGGGCTCGAACTCACCATCCTAGATCAAGAGTAGCATACTCATCTGGCTCAGTGAACCAAGTGCCCTGACAAATGATAGGTCTTTGTTAATAGCTAATGCATGTCATATATAATAGTCTTATCAGAAAAAGTTGCCTGGAACCTCTTCTGGTAAGAATATCATATACATACACATACAAAGCATCTCGTTTTTGACTCTCACAAGCTTAGTTTACATTTTTATGATTACATTTCTTAAGTATTTTAAAACTTGTTTTAATTACTAAAACATCAGGGCACCTGGGTGGCTCAGTCGGTTAAGTATCTGCCTTCTGCTCAGGTCATGATCCCAGCGTCCTGGGATCAAGCCCCACGTTGGGCTCTCTGCTCAGTAGGCAGCCTGCTTCTCCCTCTCCTCCCCGCTTGTGCTCGCTTGTGCTCTGTCGCTATCTTTGTGTCCCTCTCTCTCAAATAAATAAAATCTTGAAAAATATAACTACAACATCATTATGCATAATTTCACCATAAAGGCTTTTTTATAAAGAAATCTGTTTTAAATGCCATAAGCCGAGATTTAAAAAAAAATAAATTATAGATATCTCTTGATGGACTTCAACAATGGAGAAAAGCTGCTAGTAAAAAAAAAAAACTTGTTAATTTAAACTATGAACTTTGGGTGATTATAATATGTGAGTGTATGTTCATCCACTGTAATAAAAGCCACTCTGGTGGGAGATGCTGATATTGGGGTAGCTGTGCATGTGTGGGTCACGGCATATATGGGAACCAACTTCCCCTCAATTTTACTGTGAACCTGCACACGTTCTTAAAAAAAAAAAAGTGCGGGCGCCTGGGTGGCTCAGTTGGTTAAGCGACTGCCTTCGGCTCAGGTCATGATCCTGGAGTCCCTGGATCGAGTCCCGCATCGGGCTCCCTGCTC